AAGAGCTGAGAAACAGATGGGCAGCCTGGAGGGAGGAGAGTAAACAAAGTGGGAGAGAGGGGAGGAGGTGCTGATGGAGGACCCTCTCTACGTCTGTGTGTGTGTGTGTGTGTGTGTGTGTGTGTGTGTGTGTGTGTGTGTGTGTGTGTGTGTGTGTGTGTGTGTGTGTGTGTGTGTGTGTGTGTGTGTGTGTGTGTGTGTGTGTGTGTGTGTGTGTGTGTGTGTGTGTGTGTGTGTGTGTGTGTGTCTGTGTGTGTGTCTGTGTGTGTGTGTGTGTGTGTGTGTGTAAGAAAAGCACTCCATCAGTATTTTCTAGGCCGGTCAGTCCACTGATCTGTGTGATAATCCATCTCTTTGTGCGTGCAGCGTTGTGATCCGCTCTCTGTGGCACAACCAGCGCTTCCTCTTGAGGCCGTAAACCAACGGCGTCCATTCAAGAATCAGCCTAACTTGCGACTGTGCGGTCACTGGAACATCATCAGATTTCACTAAAAATGGGCCAATGTGGATAAACACAGCATGATGGCTGATATTTCACCATAGAGACAGATTATAGTATTTCTATTTATTGTAAGCCCAGATGAAATAATAATAATAATTACTATTTTTATTTTATTAATAATAAACGAATGTCAAAGGCTAATTCTCACGAATACCAGACCTCAGAGGGGGTTCCTGCTTCCTAGCAGTGTTGATTCAAACTTTGATTTTAGATCTTTACTCTGTGTGTGTGTGTGTGTGTGTGTGTGTATATATATATATATGGCCTCCATGAAGCCACCACAGCTCAGCAGAACATCGTTGTAGTTTCTTCTGGGGAGAAAAACACTTGCAGAGAAAATAAAGTTAACAGCTGAAATAGCAGGAAATAATAATAAATGATAATAATGCATTGAACTTATAGAGCGCTTTTCTAGACACCCAAAGACGCTTTCACACACTCTCACATTCACACACTGCTAGTGATGGTAAGCTACTTGTAGCCACAGCCGCCCTGGGGAGGTCTGACAGAGGCGAGGCTGCCATTTGGCGCCGTCGGCCCCTCTGACCACCACTAACACAGGCAAGTTGGGTGAAGTGTCTTGCCCAAGGACACAACAGCAGGATACCCCTGTACTTTAATACAGTTAAAGAGCAGATTGTAGAAGAAAGTAGTCGAGTGTGGAAAGTGGTCAGTGTGTCCTCCAGCAGTCTAAGCCTATAGCAGCATAACTACAGAGATAACTCATTCATGGACTCACCATCTTAACTCACGATGGGGAAGGTTGGTTTAGCGTCCAGGAAACAGCAGAGAACATGTCTGCTAGTAGAAGCTAACCGTTAGCATTAGCAACTCCCCCACACAGCAGAACTCCTCCAGGCTTCTGTTATTAGTGGAGATAAAACAGCAACGTTGCAGAGCAGACAGTCAGCGGTAGAGTCGTGTTGCTGTTAGCCAATCAGAGGAGAGATGTCCACATATCAGGAAGTAAGACTCCAGATCCTGTTGTGTTCAGATCTACTCCCCTTTGACTAACTTCTAGTTCCTGAAACATGAGCGCCAGAGCTTTTCTCCACAGAGATCACATTCATTTGTACTAGAGACCACCTCAGATATGATGGAGAAATGAGTGAACTTGGTCTTTAATCCTGGTAGGACTCTGCTTTATAAGTGATTTTGAGTTTCCTACTGGCTGATCACTGACTCAGCATTTTCACATTTTTCTGGTGTTTTTATGACCCAAAATTTCACTAGAAATAAAAATAACTTATAGAGTAGAAAGCATGAAAATTGAGAATTCTAGTGTAAGTTCATGACTTTTAAATAAGTGTAAGTGAGTAAAGTTTATTTATAAAGCATCTTTACAGAAAATATCACAGAACTTCATATAAAAGATGATTAAAGACAAAAACCCTAAAGAAGTGATCACTCAGGGGTTTTTATTCTGTTCTGTTTCAGTAAAGGATCCACAATTATTTTCACAGATTTAAAATTTTTATCACGAAGAGACTTTTTTTAATTGTCTCGGAGTAAAACATACAAGGGTCTCCTCAGGGTTAGATTTCAGCTTTGTGGATGCTAAAGGAGGAGGGTGAGAGGCATGATGGGAAATGAAGTTTCAGATGAAGTGTGGTGGAGGCACAGAAGGACAGCGTGATGGAGCGGGATTATTACTGTTCAGTGGGTTAATCTGCTGCTGCTGTAGTAAACAGCAGTAATCTGACGGTCTGCTGGACACAACTGTCCAGGGAGCGCTGCACGTCCTGACAGATGGCAGGAAATCACACACACACACACACACACACACACACACACACACACACACACACACACACACACACACACACACACACACACACACACACACACACACACACACTACAGCAGCATCAATGAGAGGAAACAGAAAATAAACTAAACATTTTAGGAGTTTTCATGGTCCTTCTGGTGTTGGTCTGTCAGGAACTGTGGTGGAGATAAAGCCTCATGAGGCTGATTTAATCTCAAAGTGTTTAAACTGATTTTCTGAGGGAGAATCTGAATTCAGTACATCTTTAGTACACCTTTAGTACATCTTTAGCACACCTTTAGTACATCTTTAGCACATCTTTAGTGCACCTTTAATACATCTTTAGCACACCTTTAGCACAGCTTTAGTGCACCTTTAGTACACCTTTAGTACATCTTTAGCACACCTTTAGCACACCTTTAGTACACCTTTAATACATCTTTAGTACATCTTTAGCACACCTTTAGCACACCTTTAGTGCACCTTAAGTACACCTTTAATACATCTTTAGTACATCTTTAGCACACCTTTTGTACATCTTTAGCACACCTGTAGCACACCTTTAGTACATCTTTAATACATCTTTAGTACATCTTTAGCGCACCTTTAGTGCACCTTTAGTACACCATTAATACATCTTTAGCACACCTTTAGTACATCTTTAGCACACCTTTAGCACACCTTTAGTACATCTTTAGCACACCTTTAGTACACCTTTAATACATCTTTAGTACATCTTTAGCACACCTTTAGCACACCTTTAGCACACCTTTAGCACACCTTTAGTACACCTTTAGTACACCTTTAGTACATCTTTAGCACACCTTTAGTACATTTTTAGCACACCTTTAGCACACCTTTAGCACACCTTTAGTACATCTTAAGCACACCTTTAGTACATATTTAGTACATCTTTAGCACAGCTTTAGTACATCTTTAGTACATCTTTAGCACACCTTTAGCACATCTTTAGTACACCTTTAGTACATCTTTAGCACACCTTTAGTACATTTTTAGCACACCTTTAGCACACCTTTAGTACATCTTATGCACACCTTTAGCACATATTTAGTACATCTTTAGCACAGCTTTAGTACATCTTTAGTACATCTTTAGCACACATTTTGCACATCTTTAGCACACCTTTAGTACATCTTTAGTACATCTTTAGCACAGCTTTAGTACATCTTTAGTACATCTTTAGCACACATTTTTAGCACACCTTTAGTACATCTTAAGCACACCTTTAGCACATATTTAGTACATCTTTAGCACAGCTTTAGTACATCTTTAGTACATCTTTAGCACACATTTTGCACATCTTTAGCACACCTTTAGTACATCTTTAGTACATCTTTAGCACAGCTTTAGTACATCTTTAGTACATCTTTAGCACACATCTTTAGCACACCTTTAGTACATCTTTAGTACATCTTTAGCACAGCTTTAGTACATCTTTAGTACATCTTTAGTACATCTTTAGCACACCTTTGGTACATCTTTAATACACCTTTAGTACATCTTTAATACACCTTTAGTACATATTTAGCACTCCTTTAGTACATCTTTAATACACCTTTGGTACATCTTTAATACACCTTTAGTACATCTTTAATACACCTTTAGTACATCTTTAGCACTCCTTTAGTACATCTTTAATACACCTTTAGTACATCTTTAGTACATCTTTAGCACACCTTTAGTACATCTTTAATACACCTTTAATACACCTTTAGTACACCTTTAGTACATCTTTAATACACCTTTAGTACATCTTTAGCACACCTTTAGTACATCTTTAGCACACCTTTAGTGCACCTTTAATACACCTTTAGTGCACCTTTAATACACCTTTAGTGCACCTTTAATACACCTTTAGTACATCTTTAGCACACCTTTAGTACATCTTTAGCACACCTTTAGTACATCTTTAGCACACCTTTAGTACATCTTTAGCACACCTTTAGTGCACCTTTAATACACCTTTAGTGCATCTTTAATATACCTTTAGTACATCTTTATTACACCTTTAGTACATCTTTAATACACCTTTAGTACATCTTTAGCACACCTTTAGTACATCTTTAGCACACCTTTAGTACATCTTTAGCACACCTTTAGTACATCTTTAGCACACCTTTAGTGCACCTTTAATACACCTTTAGTGCATCTTTAATACACCTTTAGTACATCTTTATTACATCTTTAGTACATCTTTAATACATCTTTAGTACATCTTTAATACATCTTTAGTACATCTTTAGTACATCTTTAGTACATCTTTAGCACACCTTTAGTACATCTTTAGTGCATCTTTAATACATCTTTAGCACGCCTTTAGTGCATCTTTAGTACATCTTTAGTACACCTTTAGTACACCTTTAGTACACCTTTAGTAAAGTAAAGTAAACTTCAGGTACAGGAAGTATCAGCTCAGCGAGGGTAGCATTCTCTGCTGATGCTAGATGAGGACTGTGGCCTGCAGGCTACAGATCTGAACAGGGAGAAGTTACTGCTGCAGATGTCGTCCCTCAGAAATAACACTGACCTATTTTTAGAACTAGTTTAGTTCATGTAGCAGACCTGCTGAAAATTTCAGTTTCTGTCCAACTGTGTTTTTCTGCACCTAGCCGTTTGTTTTCATCAGACGGATCCACAAACAACCTAAAAACACGGAGATGTGATTGGAGAACAGGTGTTACAGTCTAATATCTCTGTCTATGCTTACAG